CCAATTGCATTCTTTGGTTGTCAAATATTGCCAAAATTACCTTGGTAGGTTGGAAAATCTGCCACAGATGGACCAGGAAAGCGATCTTACAATGATGTCTCCAGTTCAAAACAAACCGTGACTTGGAGCCATTGTCTTCGAAAAATCGCTTTCCACCTCTGATTTCTTCCAGAAGATTGTCTCTGCCGACTAGTCAAGCTTAATGATGCAAGCCTAGGGGCTCCTGTGGCAGCAAAAAGCTCAAAAAAACACTTATAAACGGGTTTTTAGGTAAATTTAGGCTCAACCAGTCGATAAACAAACGGTCTGACCTAAATTTACAAAGCCCTGCATAAATTAATGCTCCCTAGGGAATTCAAATCCGAAATAGTTTTATTGACAGCACCTTATATGGAAGTCAATTATTTTATCAAGATGTTAGGGTCGAAAAAGCTCAAAAATCAACAAATCGACATCAGTCGACAATGAGTTAATCCCGAAAATGAGGGTCACGTGACCTGTGATTTTTCGCAATATTTGTTAAAATTGCGGTTAGGGCTAACATATACTTAGGGTTAGGACTGTTTTCTTAGGCTTAGGGTTAAGATTTGGCTTAGGGTTAGCCTTGTGCTAGGTCTACATGGGGGCTTCGGGATAGGGTTTTGACCTAGAGCTAGTCACGTGACCGGCCTTCTCCAGCAGATTCAAACTCCATAGATGAGATCTGCACACAACATCGACCATGCTCAACTACTTCAAGTTCTTTGGCTATGCTTAAACATGAAGATGACCACCCCTCATACTTTCACTTTGGTGCGTTTTGTAAAAAAGACCCTAACGGCTAGGTTTCAAGACAACCAACCCCATATCTCTCGACTGCCTTCATAGTTTTGTCTTAAACTTTGGGAAAGTAATCAAACTTGTTGTAAACACTGGTCCACGAAAGATTGAAACCAAATAGCCAACAAATTGTGAAAAATTATTTTTTGCTTAACTCTTTCCCGTCTGCCCCTTGAAATTTAGGTCGAATTCGACCTATGCGTCAAAAGTCTATAAGTTGCCGAAATAGTAAGCTAGAGCCCTGAAATTGCTCGTACGAACTTACTAGTAGATACTGTCGATCTTACAGTTAAAAGAATTTCGCAACGAGGAAACAAAAGACACAAAACATGACTCTGCTTTGAAATGAATGCCAAAATCTGAGTTTGAAGGACGGCAGAGTACACTGATTTTCATCTCAATTTGTAGCGTCAAAATATGTTCTCCTAGCAAAAAGTCCACTTGGTTTGCAAACCCCTTTGATAGAACGTCCTCATTTCGATGTTTTCATTTTGTCAAATGCACTCCAGATTTTTAAACAGCCCTCTTTTGAAGACCAGGTACAACAAACTTCTATGCACGATCGAAATGCATCATGGGAAGACGGAAAATTTGGACATAAATCGTGCAGCATTCTTCTTTTAAGAATTTTTTTATAAGTGTGAGCTCCCCCGCACCTACAGGCAAAATATCGGGCCAATTGCATTCTTTGGTTGTCAAATATTGCCAAAATTACCTTGGTAGGTTGGAAAATCTGCCACAGATGGACCAGGAAAGCGATCTTACAATGATGTCTCCAGTTCAAAACAAACCGTGACTTGGAGCCATTGTCTTCGAAAAATCGCTTTCCACCTCTGATTTCTTCCAGAAGATTGTCTCTGCCGACTAGTCAAGCTTAATGATGCAAGCCTAGGGGCTCCTGTGGCAGCAAAAAGCTCAAAAAAACACTTATAAACGGGTTTTTAGGTAAATTTAGGCTCAACCAGTCGATAAACAAACGGTCTGACCTAAATTTACAAAGCCCTGCATAAATTAATGCTCCCTAGGGAATTCAAATCCGAAATAGTTTTATTGACAGCACCTTATATGGAAGTCAATTATTTTATCAAGTTGTTAGGGTCGAAAAAGCTCAAAAATCAACAAATCGACATCAGTCGAGAATGAGTTAAAGCTGAGACGGTCACTATGAAAGGGCGTTACAAAGAGGTACTGTTTCAGTTGCTACAAGTCGTTGTGACGAGTGGAGCAAGCAAAATGAAGTTATTGCATGTCTTTTTCTTGGTTTTATCTGCTGCATTCTCTGCAAAAGGTATTAACTGATTGTTTTTTGCTTTTTTAATTAACAAGTGCAACAATTTGAGGCCTTTAAAAGTGTAAACTTCACCAAAACATACATTCTTCGGAATCGTTTTTTCAAAATAATTTTGTACTTTTGCACAACATAGAATCTTTAGTGTTAAAAAAGTCATTTCTTACTATAATTTACATTTGTATTTTTTAGGAGTTCAACATGGAAGTCTTCGCATCGGCCAGACAAACCCTGATAATTACTACTGCGATACTATCACCTTCCCAACAGCCTTCACGGGAGTTGATCCTGTCAAACTCTTTACGTCAGTTGGCTTTGGCATGAGCTCTTCACGTGTACATGACGTAGTGTTCACGTGGGTCGAGTCTGTCACTACAAGTAGTTTTAAAGTCTGTCTGGTTGAGAATGGGGTTGGATCAAGTGGTAATGTGACTATTAATTGGATGGCTTACCAAGGCGTGCAGTCTGGTGTGACGGATGGCTCTGTGAGGCTCAACGACTGGACGACGGGAACGGAATGCAAACAAGTTCTTCTTTCGCAGGTAAACTATTATTTCTATTTCATCTTCTTCTTTTCGCGTGCTCATGTCTTTATAATTTGCTGCTGTTTCGTTTCTATTAATTTATTTGTCTGCTATTGTTGTGTATTTTGTTTCCATTTTCCTCACATCCCATTAATTCTATTTTTATTTTGCTATATTTTATCTTTTTTTAAATATTTTCTTTATAATTTACTAAATTCATATTATACAAATGCCCTACAACTCGTGGCTCAATTATAGATCGACTGGAAATTACAAGAGACTATTTATGTACTAAGTATATAAATCAAATCTGGGTGATTTGAGAAAATGCGACTAGCCAATCAGCGCAAAGCTGACAAGCTTATGTTGTAAACATAACCCCCCGACGGGAGGAATTTGCACAGCAAAACTCGACCCAGTGGAGTAGGCTGCCTGCCATTTTATTCTATCCGAAAAGTCAAAGCTAAAACGCAAAGAGAAATTGAAAATCTTTATAAAAAAGCTTTTATTAAATGTCAATCAAATATTTATCGTTATAGAAATAGAATTTTATCTTAAAAATTAATAATAAATAATGTTTTCTTTAATACCAAGAGCCTCCCCTCCCTGATAAAAATAATTGGTCTGTGTTCTACGCGGGTTCTCCATTGCATGCGAAGCAATGGACGACTTCACGAAGACTTCAGAAGGTCGTTGAAGCGAAGTTCAAGTCCAAAGTATCATAGGAGGAACCATTGCAAATCCTTTTTCTTAGCTCTTGTTTC